CCTCCCGCACCAGAAAGTGAAAGTGACAGGGTTCCAGAAGTTTCAATCTATGCGCTTAGCAACATTACAGACAGACGTCCTGGATTAATGAAATTTGTCACTCAACGAGGAAGTGGTCTGTGTCAGAAAAGTCATGTGGGGATAGGAGGAATTTTCGGACTCATTGATGACGTTTTGAGTTCTTGGTTGGCCCGTATTCGTTCAATAAGGTATTGAGAGTGAACTAGCAGCAAGATACAAAAATCCGGATGAATCAATGTATCCCATTCTGGTCTGAAAGGGCAGAACGGCGCCGTCGGTAGCGGATGGTGATGTAATCAATCGACTCCAATTTTGCTAAGAAGCGACTAGTGATTGTGAGCTTTTGCTGAATTGAGATGCATTGAAATCTGGGGTTGTGTTAAGTGTGGTTATTTGTTCCTTAGAACTCGGGTCACTGGTGGTCTCATGCCAACCACCCCTACTTTGCAGCCTTGATTTTAAGCCATTCGCCCTGCTCTCTATTTTTGGGCACTCTGTTAACACTATCCCACATACAGCTGTGACGTACACAAGGAATGCGTACACGCCACACGGTGAGATGAGCCGAGCAGACAAACGAGAACATGCGACTGCTGACGCCTCCCACCTGTATTCGTTGTTACCACTGGACATCCTTTCTGTCTCACTTGGACTGCGTTTTGTCGCATATAATCATGGAATAGCGCGCACAGTATTTGCAATAGTTCTAATTACAATTGTGTAATTGACCAGGGTGACGTCATATTCCTGCTTTGCTTGGTGTAGAAAGACACGTTGGCCTGATTGCCAGTGGGTACAGTAAACGTGCTAATCCCATCAACCGGAAACAACTCCGAAAATATGCCAAATGATCTGAAGGCAAACCAATAGACAATGCGGACTGAAAGCGGCACATGGGTTATTTTATCAACATTACGCCCGTGCGTAAGATGAAGTGGTGAATGTGGGGTTCTCATGATACCGTGATGGTCGTTTACTCACACTTCGGGAATCACCGGTTTTCCCTGAAAGATATCCTTTTTTAACAAGAAGGTCAGACGAAAACACGTTTTGTGAGTTCTTGGGCTACAGCTGAGAACCCTGTCGTTGCTTAGATGCACGAGGTCACTTTCCACCTGCTGTGCTCCTGAACCATGTATTGAATTCTCAGGGACACCGTTAAGGCAAGGAGCAAAAGGAAGAAACTGTATAGCTTTGGTGCATTATCGCTCCCGGTGGGATTTAGTCTTATACAAGTGAACACAGTAATCAGCGAGGGTGTAAAATTGTTACCCTCTTGCTCTCAGAGAATGTATGTGGACTGGTCATTGTGTTATACTCCAAGTCGCTCTCTCCTGGTGGGATTTTTCTCGAGAAGACTTTCTGCTTCACCGATACGCTTTTAATCCAGTTACTTGGGTGAGCGCATGTGTTTAGCGATATTAGTCTGTTCTTGACTGGACACTCATAAGGATTATGAAAGCTTCGTCAGTCAACAACCGGGTTTGCTCTTTGGGCTCATCATGTAGGTACAATCCCTGAGTATCCGTCGGCCTTCTGTTCTACTGAACCTAGGTTGTACGCATTTTTCGGAGTATATTCATTTGCACACTAATTTGGTTCCAGGTGGAGTCACTTGTCTTATCAAAACTAAATTAACGTTTAAAAATGTTGATTTTTCTCGAATGGCATACGATTCGGGTTCTGGTAGGACTTGGGGCTGACGGAAACCCGGATAGTGCACCTAACTGATGAGCCTCAAGAAGGGCACAACCAGTTGTGCACTGTCGAAGAGTTGTGAGTGACATTGTGAGTAGTATGTCTGACAAGGAAATATACTGCGATATCTCGAATATAGTACCAACTGAAACATGAAGCGGTCTTGTGTAGCAAGTGCAGTGGAAGGAAAAGACTATAAACGTTCGATTCAGTTGAATTTTACTTGAGTGTTCATACGGATGTATTTCTTACCTTTTTTGGAGGAATTCCTGTCCCTGAATATCACTCAACCGAAGAAGTCTGGTATTGTAAAGAGTCCTGCGCCCATTCAGAGATGCGTTGGATCCTGATGTTCAGGCGCTTGACGAACTTCACTTGTGCTCTGTATGCCCAGACACGAGCAGTTGGCTGCTCATGGTTGTTGACACTCGTAAGAAACGGTTTACTGAGGATGCTGGATTTTCAATCCTTATAGAAAATTAGGCTCTGACAACTTTTTCCGTATTGATTGCCTCATTGTGATCGATATGATGATTTGAAGCAAAATCTTCACGACAAAAAAACAAGCGAACAAAGCTGTCAAGGTTAGTAACCCCTACTGTGGCTCAAACCCTTTCACCGTGTATACTGGCCGCCAAAAATAAAAACCCCATCCTAAAGGGAACACCTTGCCCCATCATGCGAATTTTATCACTAGGTCGGTGGGTAAGACAGCAGACCTCCCAGGAGAGACTGGAGGACATGCATACCAACCGTGTTTTGGTTTATGTAGCTCGAGCACCAGTAGCGAGTTGTTGCTCCACCTAAGTAACCGGTTCTGCTGTTTGCCTAACCAAGCAGAGTTAATGCTGTTGCGATCAATGATCGATGGATACAGTCTTTACATAATGCAATCCGAGGATCATCATTTGGATGTGAAATACAACCACCAGATCCTTTCTCGTTGGCTAGGGCAGTTGACCAAACAAAATTATCTCAACACCCGCCCCATATCGGCCCGCCTGATCTTTAAAATTTAGGAAAGGTGCTTATGGATACCATGTCCGTGCAGTCTCAAAACACAGATATGTTCATTGTCTTTTGTATTCTCGGGCCGCGTTGACAAATGCAGGACCAAATATGCGGTTGCGGCAGCCACGTCTAAACGTTTTTGGGCACAACGATAGTCCATTCATGGAAATTCCTGGAATATATCGTATTGACCAGGTTCTCAAGGTTGTATCAGGCGGTACTCTTCCCTGGGGTTGCCGCACTGTCCGGTATAGCACATGGACACCTTTTTCGGACAATTCAAACGTGAAAAGCACCAGATTCATTTTACTCCCCCTCTTTATACCACCGCGTAGCCAATCTTCATACACAAATGCCACGTGGGAACTGAAATACTCAAAGTTAGGTAGCTCGTAGCAACGCTGGCAGGACAATTTAACCGTAATCCATAGCTGGTATGCCAGCGTATTCATGCGTAACGACATGCCGTAAGTGATTTTATGACCAGGATCTACTGTTGTATGGCTCGGTAACGTAATCGACTCAGTTAACAAGAGACTAACTTTGAGGTGACAGAAAAGGGCCCTAGTGACTGTACCAGTTTATCCGGACCAGGAAACCTAGGCAATTGCCGATTATGAAAAATAACATTACAAAACAGGTTCAAACGCGAAGGAACCCTTGGAAACCAAGCAAAATGATAGAATTCCAGGAGGTATATTAATTGAGTAAGGGACATTTGTCAAAAAGGACCATCAAATTGGTTGGTCAGTTAGTATAGACAAATTTGAATGAACCTATGAGTAATCCCTCTTTTGGGTTTTTGTTTGCGAAGGAGAAGAGCTTGAAAATATTTATTTAATAGATAAGCTGAAATTATCATGTTAAATGCGCTATCTTGCTGTGTCCAGTACGTTCCTTCCGAAGTTCATTGCTCCGTAAATTGATCATGAAATTCCCATTTGCTTACTAGTAAGCTCGTCCATCATCCAACAGTTTTATTGTACTATAGTATATCCAATAAGTGGATCGCTCGCAAAATTCTTACAGTGTATTAACCATTGACTCAAAACGGTCCTTTAAAATGCGTCTATGGTAATTATGGGGTGTTGGATACACCATCACTAATAATTTTTTGTTGAGAATCGATGCGATTTTAGCGTAAAACCTCATGTGAAGACCTCAAAACCCAGATTCTTTGGATATGACGGAAATTTAGGCTAGTTTGCACATTGTGGCAAAGTTAGGCCCGTAATCTGACGGTAACTCTCCTTCTTGTTCTGAAAAGAAACGAAATTTGATCAGCACGTTGGAAAACAAACCCAAATTTTACAAGACTAACGTAAACAGACCAAGAGGTAGGAAATGATCGGGACAGAATTGTAGTTACATTTCATGATACTGCCCTCGAAAGAAGTTCCGGTGTTTACTTTTAGTCAATCCCCCATACATCGTATAAGACGTTTTGCGATGCCTTTGTATGTCTGGCTGAGATTTGGATGACAATTATCCATCCATGTTTTATGGCAGCTGCTCGGTCTCGCAACTTCGTACACTTGGCGCGTTAGACGTTTCGCATGTTTTCAGCCAGTCTGAGGCAAATGATGCAAACTGCTCAATCCAACAGCGTCGCAGTAAAAGCCAGCTGTTGGTAAGTTGAGAGGTGTAAGCCATTGCCTTATTGGAATGTCACATTCTCATGCCTACTTGTGACAATAATAACCGTTTCAGTATGTGAATGTACGTATCATAGGCCCATGAAACAAAGTTTGGAGTTTGAGTGGCCGAAACACTGCGATAGAAAAGCCTCTGATAGGGCACTGGCCTGTGATAGCCTCATACTTTGGTTGTACCTATGTTCCGTTTACTGTTGCTTTTACCAAGCCCCTCGGGCCGTATCCCGATCAATTACCCGCTTGTTTTCTACATTTCGTTCCGTTCCAATTTTTAATAGCCGAGTTACGATGAAGGAGATGGTCCCATACTTTTGTCGCCGCACATACTCCTTTCGTATTGTAGTGAGAATGGAACGCTCTTCGTTTTATATCTATGTGGCCTCAACTATTGAGCATGTTGGGAGCAAATAACACGCATCCGCATGGGTACTGTTGTTGTCTTGTTAACACTTAGTAGTTTCTAGAAAGAGGGTGCATTTGCCTGCAAGGGAATTTTTTGCGATATATAGTTGCATTTAAATGTAACCGCAAAGAAATAGTAAGACTGACTGCTGAATATTGAGTAATTTACACAGTCCCGGAAATGGGGTGTTTGTTTGAACAAGTAAAGAAATGCTATTCCGGTGCTGTGTTTGAATTCACGTCACTTGTGTGCTTTGGACGCTGTTTGCCATCAGCTTCAGAGGGTACCTGGTTGAATGAGAACAGACTGTAGTTCATGGGATGTCCCATGTGGAAGGCTGGATAGTCTGTTTGCTGGATTTCTGGAGGGAGCCTAGAGAAATAGGCTTCTTGGGCTTGATAACGGTGTAGATCATATGCTCGGGAGTGTGTTGGTGTAGTGTTGGAGCAATGTGGACTCCCACGAAACGAAGCTATTCCCAGTGAGGGTTTGTTGTCACCGGGTTCTTCATACACATGTGGCCCACATAGGTCATCAAAAGATGGTGTGGCGATTGGCGTGGGTGCCTCCCAGTAGTAACCATGTTGTCCGGAGTTTAATCTTGGCATTTCAAATGGCTTCCACTGGTGCGCCTGTGACCATGACTGGGATTGGTTTGTAAGCTTCATTTGGTTGCTGTGCGTTGTCATTGTTGGCTCATCTTCCAAGAGCTTCCCGGCACTATGAATGGAAGTGATATTATTAAGTCGAAGCGAAAACTAATGATAACCATGGTTAATTTGGTAAACTTGTCGAACTTTGCCGGTCAGTTTACAGTTGGCAGCAAGTCAGTGTCATTGTGCTGCCAATGTATTGCTGTACATACTGAACGCTCAATTTACGCAACATTTCGGACTAAACATTGGCCAACTCGTGTAGCGAGATTTCTACTGCCACTCATGTTGAGTGATCGTCTTTGAGTATTTTTCATTATTCCGATATGTTCAGGGGTCTCCCGCCAAATAGATGCCCTAGAAGCATCACATCGCTGAGTTAAACGTTCCGTTAGGCCTCTCACATTAATCCACATCCGGTTTAACCCAGACGGTGGAACCAATATGTCTACTAACCACATTTCTCTGACATACCGTTTTACATAAGTCTACTTGACTCATACTTGTATCTGTTCATGCTTTTCTGTTTGAATCTGAACTCAGGAAATTAAAAGTATGCAAGTGATGACTTTTGTCCTGTGACGGCATGCAAATAGGGTGTGATTTAGCTCAATAAAGCAAGTTCATTTGCTGGGCTACATTGTCTTAAGATGAACTCACTCACCTAGCTTTACATTTCCTTTGCAGCTACTAGATTTTCAGTCGTATAGACTCACTGTCACAGATCCATGTTTGGAAGTTGAACGGAGAAAGTGTCAGCTGGAAGCTTATTTTCTGTTCTACAGATGTTTTTTCCTTGAATTGAATTTTTGGTGTATGTGTACTTTCATGACCAGCCAAGGGATAACTGAGGAACTATCCCTAATAGCGATCAAGGGGCATCGTATTGAAAACTTTTGATTGCATTGAAATATAAAGACTTGCTCAGTGACAGGGTTTTGTTGGCAGGAGGGTGACTGTACATCCGGGATACTAATTGCAAAAGAGTACTGAATATGGTTCAGTGTCAGTCTGCTTTTCATCTGTTTGATTGCCTTTGTTAGCATATACGGTGTCGAATATCGATCACTTTGGCGTGACTCATAGTTCTGTAAACCAAGAGAACTAATCATTTTGACGGAGTATACTGTGTCTCACTGTTTGGTGTAACAGTTAGAGACTTGTGACGAAAAAGAGCTTATTCTTCCGCAGTTTGGGAGTTCGAAAGTGAATCATCCTGATGAAACCAAGTGTGGATGAAGAGTTACCTAGTAGGCCTGGTTTTTCAGCACGGTGTAGTCAGGTTATCCAAGGTGATAGCGTGCCGGAGCATGCACAGTCCTATTTGATGACCACCTCTAGTATGTCATATGATTCTTGAAATGTTCATTCACTGAGGGTTCCGATTCGTGCATATCGATCAATGCCATATGTGTCGACCGGTTTTTTCGTCTAACCAAAACGGTTTACGTGCTGGATCTGACACCTAAAAACATAAGGCTTCTTATCACTGATTATTAGAACCCATCGCTCCGGGTTGCTTGCCGAATTCTCCAGAAACCCCTCACTTAATTCTTTACATTACAGTGATTTTCGGCTCTGAAGTCAGGTGAGGGATACAATCAACTCGTATCTATAGCAGTCAAAGTTTTCCGACGGTTTTATGTCCGGACTCTTGGCTAGTCAGTGTAATAAATTAATTTATTATCGTGGCAAAATGCCCAAGGTGTTTTTTATTTAACTGTTGCTTGAGGACTCAGTGTCACTTCGAAAAATGAAATATTTCTCGGGGTGACGAATCTTCCATTCACCTGTGAACCAGCATTATCAAATCTTTTTTCGCGCACCGCTCAGAGGACCACTACAGGCTGACCGTGGCGCATGCAGTCGATGGCATCTCCCTTTTTTTTCGAAGATAATGCTCGCAGCAGGCTAGACAACCTGAGTCATCCAGATTCTTTACCAAGAGAAGTTTGTGTTCAAACAAGTAACGTTCCTCAGCTTTATATAATTTTAATTAGGAGGACATGCATGTAGCAGTTGAACCAACTTGAGGTTTATGCGGAGAGTATCAACGATTTTCAACTTTGATTTGCACGTCATTTGACTAGACACTACTCTGATAGACCTTGTTTTTGCTTTTCAGGGCATGTCTTCTCTGATCTTTCTCGACCACTATAAGAGTGATTTTGGTGAATTAGTGAGAAAGTTAGCAACTAATGCTCTCTATCTACTCACTTTGGTAACAGTCCGGAACTGACTCTGCATATTGCCTTTGTAGTCTAAGTATTACCTTGTCCAAGCGTTGACGGTGATCAGTCACTTGATTTAATCCGATTGAACTACAAGCGGGCACTCATTAGCGCCTATCTCGCTCATTCATTCACGACCAATAAAACAGGCCGGTGACTACCTTAATTTCGGAAAAACTATAAATAACTCCGTGTGCGGCATATTGCACTCATATTAACACCTGAATCTGTTTCGATTGTACCGTGTTTTGCACTTGAAAATTTGGAAAATGAATTGCAATACCTCAAAGTTACATGGTAATTGTCTAAACTTGAGTAACCTCAATACAAGTCTGGTGATATTGAGTTAAGAAGATGTGGAGGTAAGAAAGTATAACAAATGTTTGTAATACGCTTGCGCCACACTTATATGCATACTGTATTGGGTGAGTATGTCCATGATCAAAATTTATTCCTTCCGTGTCCTAATACAAAGAACTCCAGCTCACTGGACGCCGCTTATCTGGACAACTTAAATATCGAGGTGAATTCAGCCAGTCTCCATCAGTTATGGTATATTGGGGTACCTTGGTAGCATTCTGATATTTTTTCTGGCTATACAGTTTTTCTTACATCAACTGAGACTGGGGTTTGCACATGTTTCCCCGCGAACAAGTTGAAAAGCGGTAAACCGAGTGGACGTGGCCGTACTCAGCGTGAGCTGATGTGCATGTGTCATGTCTCGACTAGAAAGACTAACGGATGAACTTCCGGATGGTATTCCGCGATACCAATGAGGCGGTGAAATACCTCAATATCTTAGTTATGAGTTGCCTGCGTACAGGCTCCATTTTGTATGAACTTCTGGGTTGGAAAAAATATTGGCTCTATAGTTCGTGAATCACTCCTCTCATTTGGACTACCCCTCCAGAATGGTTATTTCAAATTCGAGCCTCGAAATCCTGAATTCTATATGCTGCCGGTCATTGCTGTCTATTGAGCAAGCGTTTGGATCTACAATCTTGTTCTGTGCACTTTCAGTAGGTGACGAGTTAAACGAAGTAAATTAATGTGATCCGACCGGGAGAAAAATTAAATCTTGCAGTGTTTATCCTTCGCGTAAGAAGGGTAGCGGATAAAGAAAGCATCTTATTGTTCATTTGTAATGCACTACTATAAAGTTGCTGGAAACTCGTCGACAGCCCACAACCGGTTTCGCCTTTCTTAAGGATCATCAGGTAGGCGCAGTCCCCGAGTTCCCATCAACCTTATGTTCTACTTGGAACCGAATTGCACGAAATTAGCGAAATACAATCATCTGCAAACTACTTTGGTTTTTTCGAGAGACTCACCTGGAACATAAGGTTGACGGAAACTCGGGGACTGCACCTACCTGATGATCCCCAAAAAGGGTGAAACCGGTCGTAGGCTGTTGACGAATTTTTAGCAACCATATGAGTAGTTCATTACAAATATACATGCATCGCGATATCTCGAATATCGTAGCGACTGAAACATGAGGTGACCTGGTGCAGCACAGTCAGTTGCCTGGAAACATCACAAACGATGGATTCAGCTGGGTTCCGGGTGAGTCTCTCGAAAAACCAAATTAGTTTGCAAATGAATGCATTTCGCTAATCTTATTGTTCAGTTCAAATATGATAAATCCATCTAGTCATAAGCCCCTGGATTCTCGTCTCAGACACCTTGTTACGAGCGCTGGAATATCGGAAACGGTTACCCGACTATTTGCCAATGGATCATTTCTCACTAATCCCGTCTTTTCAACCGCTGACCAGTTTATCTGCGAAACCTCAATGGACATGACTGAAAGGCAGATTTTCGTGAGCATCTTCCTTGGAGAGCTTACCTGAGCACGGGATCCTGCATGCTAATAGAACATTCGGAAACCAAATGTTGGTCTTCATAAGTACCTGTAACCACAAGAGGAAAAAAGGAACGTTAAGGTATGGTAATTGTTTGTCAACCGGAGCAATCCATTCCCGATACAAATCTTCATCAGGTTCCATTTCAATGCATACGCCAACGCGCTTGGATCGAAGCCTGACAACTGTTGAACTGACACACTCAATCAGATGTACGTATGCCGTGCTTATTCATTGGTCACCATTTTATTCAAGACGAGTGGTGTGGTGTCGTTTTCGGAAAAGTTTGTTAACATTCGGTAAGCTTATCCCTGGGTAACGTTTCGCTTTTGACACAAAAGCTTAGCCATGTCAAATAATTGAATTGTGTGATAGCTTTTAATTTCACTTCCGATGTTCTTTCACTATGCTACTGAACTATTCTACAAGTTATCTTAATTTCTGCGCGTTACCGAATGCCTGAAAGCACGCTGTACACTGTTTGACAATTGAGGTCTTTACTCACATCAGAGAAACTTACCTTAATTTTTGACAAAGTGCTTCGATTTCTTCTGCACAATACAGAAAAACCTGAACGGTGACCTTCTGGAAGATTCTGTGAATTTCCGATCGTCACTCTCATGGACTTGGTGTTTAGCCCCTGGTGAATTTCTCATCAGATTCTGTTACTAAAAATTGACCTAAAAAGTGCATTGATAGTTTAGACATGAATATGAAGGCAACTCAGTGTAAGGTCAGGATGCCATGGCGGGTGCGCAACGTCTGGATTTTCACGCTGGAATTGGGATATTCCTTGGGGTTCCTCAACTTGGTGTAAAGACATCTATATATATCCACTGAGACGCGAAGGCTTCAGTCATGACGTCTTAGTAACTTTATTGAGAGGCCTTATTAAAATGCCGAGACACCTCAAAGTCGTGGTGTAGTAATGAAACTATCTGCTTCTCCGAATTACTGCATGCATGAAAATTCTGTGATTCCATATTCCCTACTGCTAGTCTGAGTCATTCAGCTTCCAAATAGGTTCTTCTTGTCTTGTAGCTTACTACTGGATATACCCAAAAGTAGCAGTAGGAACCTCGAACGACACCGGCTGAGTGTGAATCTACGTGCTCACCGGATAATGACCGTAAGTGTTTCGACAAATACATTCATTTGCGAATCAGTTCGGTATTCACGGGAGACTCAGCCGAATCTCTTGTTTGTGAAGCCTTTCAACTGAATGTGCTGCACAACGGCCACCTCATGTTGGTACGATATTCGAGATATTGCAGTATATTTTCATAAAAGAAACTACTCACAAGGTTGCTGAAAACTCTTCGACAGCCCAAGCCCGGTTTCGCCCTTCTTGGGACCCGCTTGAGTTTCCGTCAACCTTGTGTTCTACTTGAACCCGAATTGGATCGACAATGAGTGTTCATCATCGGTTTCCTAGTTACCGGGATGATGACCGTTACAATTGTCTTTGGCACTCCAGTTGGGCCTACTTTGGAACCTCTATCACACCTTATTTCGTCATTCTAACATCACGAGATCGACCGAGATGTTTGGCACAGAAAAAATATGAAGCAAATTCTCTGTAGTTTTGCGCGTGAGCTCAGTCAATATGAGCGAATAGTGCTTGAACGAAAGGGTTACAACTGGTAACCAGTATTAGCTGTGATACATAACTCAGCGAAGCTTCTGTAACGTACTTACGGTGATTAGAAATATAAACCGTAACCCTAACACAGTCTGTATGGTCCATTCTGGAAAGGATTCTGTTGAGAGTGGTCGAGTCACCCCCTAGTTTTATGTGCTAACTTAATGGGCTCTAAATCAAGCACTGAATCTGACTTGTCTTCCCCTACATGCTCCCATCGGAAGTGGTCCTTTAACAGTCAGCAAGAGTAAGCTGGTTCTGTATGCCCAACCTGTTCGCAGGGTCTCATTAGGTGACTTTCCGTGGTCCTAAAACCAGCTTGCTGTTACCTATACTTCAGTGTGTCGCCTTCGTTAATCTGTCTTACTGGGTTTTTCGAGATCTATTATCGAGTGAAGAACGTCTTCTGCAGTAAGCTGACAAGTATCGATTATTAAAACGCAGTTGGCCTATTGGTACGTTGATACATTTTAATAACGGAAATTTACCCACAGTCTTTCACCCCGTAGTGAGGCATACGTAGTAAGTACATAATCGATGTTTGAAGGTGGATAAAATCTGTACAGGCATGTGGGCCCCACATGTTTCACTAGTGGGGCTAACACTGCTACTTCTTTAGGCATAGATCTGGCGGATAACGTGTGAAATTCCGGTTCAAGCGTCATCGGTAAGTCAGCTGTAGATTTCCAGTCCCACGAGCTCATATTGGTTCTTTTGGGGACTTTCTCAGGCATACATTATCACCCCTGTTGTGTACATCTGAATTTCTCATTTTAGGGTCTTCCAAATCTCATTCTTTCTAACAGTACCACAGATCACTGAAATTCTGGCGTCATGTTTTTTACCGACATCCCTTCATTCTAGTAATTTTAGAACTGCTGTAATATCTATGATGCGTTCATCCGAATGGTTTGTTGGGCTCGTTATTTATGCAGCAGAATTCATCATCTTTATGACACCATCCCAAAGATGGAGAGAAATTGATAGGCACAGTTTCAGTGAGCCGTAATCAAATGGAAAAGGTCGAAAGCATGAGGTGCGAGCAAATACAGTCCAGTAGAGTGTGTCGTATTTGTCACATAAATTCAGGTTAAGCTCCAGCTGGAAGCGGCAAAACGGTGCACTCCTCATTTCCCCTAAATTTGATTAAGATATGACTCTCAACTCAAGTAGCGTCATAGGTCTCGGTGAGAGTGACCAGAATGTTGCGTGCGCTCAAGTTTGAAAGAGCTTTATTGATAAACTTAGCATTGCACCTAGTGTTATACTCAAAGAAGGTCATCGGCTAGACCTCAGGATTTCGATTACTATGTTGGAGAATTATGATCAATAAGAAGGGCTAAACCGGTCTTGGGTTGTCGAAGAGTTTTCAACAACTTTGTGAGCAGTTTCCTTTATGAAAATATAGTGCGATATCTCGAATATCGTGCCAACTGAAACATGAGGCGACCTGCATGCAGCATATTCAGTTTTAGAATACCATTAACGAGTGATTCAGCTGAGTCTCCCGTGGAAACTAAATCGATTTCCAAATGAGTGTATTTCTCGAAAACAGTCGAATTTGGGTTTAAGTAGAACATAAGTTCGACGGAAACTCCGTGACTGCGCCTACCTGATGAGCTCCAAGAAGAGCGAAACCGGTGGTGGGCTGTCAGAGTTTTCAGCAACCTTGTGAGTAGTTTCCTTTATGAAAATGACAGGATCTAAATTATTGGATCACTGGATTTGTTGTTTATTGTGTTTGGCTGTAAATTTGTTGTGGCGAATACGGACGAAAAACTTGATGTTATCTCGAAGGCATCTTCTAGATGCATACACGAGGTACGCGTGCAAAATTATCAATACCATAATTTCGTGAGCCTCGAATTCATAAACATCACGCTCTCGCGCGGCATGTGACTGGACTCAAGGTTGGCAGGGCATATGTCGACCAAAGTAGCACATTAGTAGCGGCTTTACTGAGGCTATTTAGCGGTTTGAAATGCGAAACTACTTAAACTGCGGATGTCGGGAGCTTTCTAGAGCAGTTTTGAAAGCGGAGGCGAGCCAATTTTCGCCCTGAATACTGGAGCAGATTGTACGGAATTCATCGCCCTGAACATTCATATCATTTAAGGTTTTGGCACCAATAAACGGGCTGTCGGAACTAAAAATACTAAGCTTCCCGAAAAAGAGCTGCCAACCTTGTTATGGTCCTACATACTGTGACAGTTCCTTTGTGAAAACCTCCCGGCTATCTCATGTCTTGATGAAGTCCTTAAACGACCGTGCAACTAATATTCGGAGCCTCGTAGTCAAAGAGTCGTATGTAGGTAGACAGATACAGTCCTCTTGGAGGCATTCATCCGAGCTGGTTCCGAAGCGGACGGGAATTATAGATGTACTGAATATTACGATCAACTGATCCACGCTCTCTTGCTTATGCATGGCCTTCGAAATGTGCGACTTATTCCCAGATAAACTAACGGTGCACGGTGTTAGTGTATGCAAATTGGGTGACGTTTCAAGTCGGTTGTCCGACTTGACCAGGCAAATACAAAGACAATAACTGTCTGATTATTATGTTTTCACAATTATTTTAGCTTTGTGTGTGCCCAGAAAAAATAATTCTCCTCCTATGTTTTTCTTTTCTCACTTGTGTTTTTAGTGAAAAAGTGCGCATTTTCGTTTCATCTGTGAGAGCTTTCCAACATCCCTCCAAAGCAAAACGTAACGTCGCAATACTACTAAGTTCCACGAACAATGTCTTCTAATCCAGGCCTACTGGTCCGAGTTCATTTGGTTCTTTGATATCAATAAAAAAGGATGACCATTGCTAAACTACTAATCAGTTGATAGAACAAAAAATTTCAGATTGTGTATGCGCGTCATGTACTTACTTGCATTCATTGGGTTGCAGCTAGAAGTTGGGTCATTGTATGAAAAACCAACACATGGTTCTTTGGCTCCCGTATGTACTTCCAATCTGTTAAGAATATTCGGTGATCTGCTGTCCGGAGATTGTGGTTCGTATCTGGAAGTGGCGCTTATTGGACAGGTCCATTCAGCTTGGATGGGTATAACATCAGGATGTGATGTTAGGAAGGTTCTTTCTGGTACTACTGCAGCGGATATTGGGGCTTTGAAATTGCTGTCTGAGACTGGCTCACTGTCCGTCTGATCCTTTGCGTCAGACAGCTTGGTCAAATGGTGTATTGCATTTGAGATACCGTAATTTCCTGTATATCGAACTCCACCAGAAACTGGCCAGATATGTGGGAAATTGTAACTGGTAATAGCTGACCTTTCGCCCAAATATCTCGCTTGCTTTTGTAACATACCCTTTACTTCTGTTCCGGGTGAACGGGATATCGATGTGGTGTTGGTCGCAGCCCGGTTTCTGCGTCTTATCTGAGATGCATAATTATCTCGAGCGGACCATCCTGGATAAAGACGTTGGTGTAATTCCTTTTCCTTTTTTGCCATGTCGTAGTATTTTGCTTGGGCCTCTCGTGACAGAGCGTGCCACTTCCTTCCAAGTATTTGATTGATAGCCGCCGATTCCTTTAAAGTGCATTCGGCGATGACTTGTGCGCGCATCTCTTTCATAAACAACATAAAAGCATTAAGAGGCTTCTTAATGTGTCCAACGTTTCTCGTACGCCATTTCGTGCGGTTTTCTATATGTGGTGGGTGTTTAGCTCCTTTGTTCTCTAGACTGTCATCTTTTTGGGTACTAACCGATGATGGCCTCTCAACTGGCTGGTTTCCCCAAAATCCGCTTGTCTGTCCAGGATTTGAGGTTGGTCCATGACTTGCTTCATGGTTGAGCTGAGGTCTCATAGTCGCTTGGATCCAGCTGTGTGGAACGGTTTCCAAGTTTACTTCTGTCTCGCTTTCGGCTGCTGTCCAGGTTGAGTGTCTGTTCGGTGCAGAAAAACTGCAAAAGGTAAAAATACATCAACTAGTGGCGGGCCTCTCAACACTAACTAGTTCGGCCCCCTTACGGACATTCTGGAATAACGGCCTAGGTGTTCACACACTTCAGAAATTACGAACTGCTGTAAAGAAGCAGGTGACTCTTTCTTACTGCGTGGTTTTCAAGTAGTATGTTTGCCTGACGTAAATGACGTTTCAAATCGGATACTTCAAGAAGTAGCTATGGATAATTTCACATTACACAGCAGCATAGGACAAGATTGCTCTTTCCCCTGCTCCATCATGAATTTGGAGCGGACCAAAGCACGCGCACACTGTTTGCCATCTGAGGCTTTTTGTACGTTTCCACATCAAACCTTTCCTTTGTCGTTTAAAATACTACTTAATTTATGGTTGGTGGTGGAGAAGTGCACCACTGATCACAGCTGGCATAAAAAAGAAGCGATTTACTTCCTCCTGTACAATTAGCGAGCGGTCCTATCAATAAAACCGTTCGCCTACCTTATTTCATAGCAGGATTTGTACGATTCATGTGCCTCCTATTCTGTTCTACTAAACCACACTTTTCTCGAAAATTTGATGGTGCTCAAGGTAACAAAAACCTTTCGACCACAGTCACTGAGCGAAAAAGATCAGCGGCCAGGGTTTTCACTATGTTCTATCACTTGATTGTTTTGGAAAAAGCCAACTGGCAGCACTCGTACTTGTTTCGTTTCAGGTGCCAGCGTACAAGCAAAGGTGTTCATTATTGGGTGTCCGAATCTACCTAGAACAACTACTAATTTCATGCTTGCCTGCCAAAACATCGTTGAAGACGATTACCTGTTGCACTACGTTAGTTGGCCTTTTATGGACAATTATGCAGTCGCGTTGAGCTTGGATTCATCAAAGAGAAAACCACCGGTTTTGGTATGTGAAATTTCCCCTCGAGATGGCAAGTTCATTTGAAGATAGACAAGTCACACAAGCTTTTAGTTTAAGTTAGAAAAAGTTCAACTCTCCTACCGAGCCGTGCAAGGCCAACTCCACTGTGCAGGCCAAAGTTTAACAACTCTTGGTTGCCCCTTTGGGTTGCAATATGTTCTGTTAATCAGGGGCTGAGCGAACCTTCAGTTCTTCGCGTCAAATAGGCATTTTCAGTTAGGCTGATTAGTTGAAGGCTGAAGGTGAACCGCCTTTGTCCAAAGTTACACCATTGGATTTCTTGAGCACTTTTGCAGAAGTTGAACAGGTTTTCATAGTGTACATTGCTCCTGTCAGCTTTTTTTCGGTGCAAAAACTTATCAGTCAGCCAGTGAAGTTCCAAGCAAGGCTACATTCCTCCATCCTGAATGTGTATAATATCTCTCTGTCGAACTATCTTCACAACCTCTATGTTCACGAATCACGTATCATTGCCCCATGGAGTTACGAAAAGCCGCTTTCGCCAACGCACCGATTGGGTGGTCTAAAGCGTGACTGTCATTCTGTCATTTTCTTTTTGGGTAAACGCAGTTGCACACGGTTTGTGAGCTGAAAAACTGAAGTGAACTTAACGAAATCTTGCTTAAGCTCTGGGAGTCTCAACTACTGGATGTGCATAGCGAATTGATTTTGCTGTGAGGAGCAGACAAAGAGCGAAATTCACTTACTCGAAAGCCTTGATTGACAGATATCATGTCGGCGCCCGTGAAACACTCATCAAAAAGCAAAGCTAAGAACTAGCTTTACACTTTCTCGAAGGTTCTACATGGCGCAAATATCGGTCGTTACTGCAGTTCTGTTTCATCTGTTAATTTTTTCACTGTTCAAGTTTTGTCACTCAGCAACGTTTGTTTGGTTATCTACACTATTCTTTAGTCTCAAACGACGATTTTGTAATAAAGAACTGGGACAAGAGAAAGCCATTTCTCCATGGCTGCGTTCTTTGTGCTAATTATGATGTGTATAGCGTCAGCGTACGAATATACAAGTTTATATATATATATATATATATATATATATATATATCGTTTTCTATAGTTTCCAAAACTTCCGTCAAATTTATTAGTACTCAACGGCTGATCGATATTCGGAGGGTGCATACGTGCACAAACGATCGATTTCATTCAACAAGGCGTCATTACATGGAGGTTTGGTATGCTGAAGGCTTCCCGTTACAGTTGTTTCATTCGGGACGAATAAAAACGCAAAACTCCAAACGGTATCATGGCAAACCTAGATATCAGATATATCTGGAAACGCTTAAGCTGTTTATTTTTATGTATCTCTTAAAGTATTTACCTGTTTTGTGCTTGATTAGCATGTGAGTATTCTGCAGTGACGTTGTAATTGCCGAGTGGCTGTTGTAGCCACGAATGCAGACACTCCAGTGCGCTTTTGGAGGTGTTCCTTCCGTCGAAACATCCCTCCATAGGATAGTAAGGCAGCCTCGACGGATGAGAGGATGTACGACACGGATCACGGTGAGTAAGTTGTTGGACTAGTGGAGAATCCATTCGCCCAACATCCGCACGCCACAGATCGATCAATCCAAACTGTGGGTTCTGCATATTCCTTGTGTCCATAGTATGTGACGATACTGCGTTTGCACTTCCAGACATTAGCCTCGCCTCCAAGTAGCCTGGCGAACCTCTGTATGATAAAATATCCAGAGGACAACTGCGGCAACTTTCTGTTTGTCCTTTGTTTGAATGCTTGCCTTGCATAATCCCGAGTGCCTCCGATTCAAAGTTGTCGCTTGGTGATATTTCAGCACAGGATTGCAGGGAAGCAACTTGATTGCTTTGTGCAGTGCAAAGAGGGGCTATATGATAAGAAAACGAATCAGTGGCAAAATCTATGAAACCACTGTCAATCTTAGAAGAGATTATTACGAATTTTCCCAGGTAGCTAGTTGTCACTTGCTTCCAACTACTCAAACAAGTCATTGCTATGCTTGCCTCCTAGACAAACTAAAGAAGTTTTCGAGTGCAAAATCAATGCGTAGTACCACGGGTTGCTCCGAGTGCTACGAATCAACAGTGTTGCAGTGTTATTTTAAGAAGATCATGTTCTAGCAACTAGCATCTGTGAGAGGGTTGTTACACGCTGTTGCTTTATCGTTGGTCATTCCACAGCTTTTCCATCCTTGGAAAGTTTACTATAATCCATTAGGTATAGAAAACTTGGAATACTCCACAAATAGGCCTACCAGTATTCTTCATCCGATGTCTTGGTGAAATTTTTATGATGATTCAATAGAAAGCTTAATATGCTCCGACCGGAATCTAAAAGGGTCTCACTGTAAACCAGGACTGTTGAACATTCATCGGTATACATTGACTTGAAATCTGGTCGCCTTTACATTTCTGTCGAGACAACTTAAGCCTCCCCTCAGGTCATCGGGGAGCTTTATCCGGGACTCTTACGAAAAGTTGGAGCGAGGAATGCATAAGTTTTCCAAAACTTTATTTATAATCAGATTTTAGCTTGATAGTAACTCCTGAACCCACATTATTCCCACCCATCATTTATTTCACCGTACACAGCAACTCACACCTGGTTAAATTACTTATACTTTTCAGGGAGCGGGATTTGATAACCTAATCAAAGTCATAATTGTTAAGGCTCTGAGATGACATCACGTTCGAGTTCGGATATTTGCAAGTCGTGGTGGGTAATGTTTTAAGCTGTACTTTGCATAAAATCAAATCTCATCTTCCGGCTCCTGAATACCATTTTTGGTAACGTGCCTTCTTTCATTTTGTACTTATCAGCCGATCGTCCATACCAATAATTTTCAAGGCCTGAAACAAAATAAACCTGGTAGCATACGCATTGGTGAATTTCCGTCATCCTGAACGTGGGGCGGTAATCCCAAGTCAAAATGAAAAGAGAGCAAGCTCTCAATATCCTCATACAACTGGTGTATGAATGATATTTCACGTCTGCCCAGTCGTATTTCTACTGTATTTTATTGTGGAGCCCCCGCTCAACTTGAACCTCGAGAACAACATACAGGTCCACATCACAACAATGCATATTCGTTCCTTATCGCTCAGTTATTTAGTGGAATATTTTGGGCGCACTATCTGACATAGAGACTACGTCAGCATTTCTATGAGCGGAAACAAACAAATTCATTGGCATAACCGAAAGCTTGAACGCGTCAAACATTGATGATACTGGTCATAATCCAAGAGTAGCTTACGCAGACTCCGGTTCAACCGCGTTGCTTAGTTACGTTGATGAAATTACTACACAATTACACGATTCGCTAACAAGGCAATCCGTGCGAAATGGGTCGGTCTTGGTCACGTGACATATCTTTCAATCCAGTTAAACAATAGCCCTACATCTTAGGAAGGACTTTACTTCCACTTCCAACCCGGTGTCAACAGAAGACAGTCTTTCCTCTTTTATTTCAACAATCAAAGTGGCTGTTTTCTGTTATTTTCACGCTTCGTTGTGCAATGACCAGAACACGAAATCACGAGGACATTACTACTTTTTCGATCCATGTTGTTGATGACTCTGCGGGAATAGTTGGGCCACTGACGAATTAATTCTATGTTCTTGTATGTCCTCACCTTGCTGTTTAATAAAAATTCCTGTGGTGTCATGCAAGTCAGCAGAGGCACGTTTGTCGTTATATCAAGTCCTGACGACCCAAAGTGTGATGAACAGCCAACCCGATTTGCCATGATATCCATAACACTTTATTCAATCTAACCGAAAGCCAATTTCAATCACATAAGCAAAAAATGGACAGCAGGGGTAGGTTTTTTGCTGTTAGCAGGCATGGAGTCCAGTCTCACTTTGTTTGAGAGAAGCATATGAGGGAACTTCGTTACTGTCATTAAAAACATTTAGCTTGAAGATACAAATAATGCAGTGGTGTGGGCTCTTTAGAAAACAGCGAGACTTGATGACACTGATGACTATACCGTTGGCCCAAATTCAATGGTGACGTGCAATCCGCCAATCTGGTTGAACAGATGAATATTCATCTGACAAACCATCAACTATTCTGAACAAAGAATCTGTCCATATTTCGATGATCCGTGAAGGGAATCGTCCTGCTAGTCGTTGTATGCACTGGAAAGTATTTTGTCATTATTTAGTTAAATGAGGGTGTCCAAGATTTCACCAGAGGACTAGCCAGCACCAACTTTAGTCAAGTGGAGGTCGACGGTATTGGAAAATCTAATTAGACTCTTCATAACCCATAAAAATATCTATGACCCTGAATTCCAGTCTGACTCAGCTCACAGTGCGGAAAATTCAGCTTACGAGACTTCCTAAACAGTATGGCTTTAAGTAGCATGTTGAAGAATAAACTTTTTAGGCAGACCATCCTGCGGTGGTTAGAATCAATAAATCATAATTTATGAAAATCGGAATACGATGGGCAGCAAGTTATACGCAAAGATCAGTCCAAAGAGCAAACGCAAGACTAGGTTCGGTCGGCTGGCTTCGTAGTAACTGTGGTTAGATCGAAACGTCTAGAATATTCTTCAGAGGTCACATGAAGTGGGACAAGTTATCCGTGCGTGCTCACCGTGTGCTTTATCTATTGCTGTGCGACGGAGTAAGTCGCTTGGACACCCAGGGGGTTTTGCGCGACCGACTGGGTTCACCGACCAATCTGGACCGTTGTTCCGAGTGCCACCGCGGATCGCCCGGTCAAAATTGGTGTCATGAAGATGATGTTGCATGTTAAACGGATTGACTCCGTTTCAAACGAGTGACCCTTCCTATACCGTGTACAAACGACTGATAGTATATTGTAACACTGCTTACAAGTATGCACAAATATTTTTAGTAGCCCACTACCGGTTTCTCCTCCCTTGGGACTTATCAAATATAGGTAGTCCCCGAGTTTCCATCGACTTCGTGTTTGGCGTGACTCAATCATGGAACGTGAAGTTGAAAATCAATATCGCGTCAACATTCTCATTCATGCTATTCTTCGAGTGAATTTGCTGCACAAAGTCTACCTCACCAATTTTACAGCTGGTACTGTGTTGTTGTTGTTGTTGTTGTCGTTGTCGTTGTTCTTGTTGTTGTTGTATGGCAGTGGAGCATCATTTTGTCAATACTGGTGATGGTGATCATCATCACTACGATGCTGATGTTGACGACATTTACGATATGGAAATATATTTTCTTGAATTATCTCACTACTTACAAAGCGTCCAAGTAGAACATAAGGCTGATTGAAACCCGACGACGTCGCCCTCCTAGTGAGCTCCAAGAAGACTGAAACGTGTCATGTGGTGTCGAGGGGTTTTTAGTAATACTATGGGTGGTGTTTCGTTCCAAGAAAATATACTATGACGTTTCGAATATTATACCAAATGGCTAAGTTTCCTCTTGTGAACAGTATGCGAATGGTGTTCAGGTTAAACTTAATGTACAATTCATGTTATCCAAATGGTATGGTTCAGTGAGCTTATACGACTACGTGCCACGGATCTAGCTATGAGAAATATTAGGGAGCTCTGTAAACATATTCAGTGAAAGCCCGAAGAAGGAGGAGATTGTTGCAGTTTGCTGCAGTCTCAGGCCATTCTACTTTGCAAAAGAAACAAAAGGTAATAAAAAACGCAGCAAGAACGTGAACCATCATATTGGACTCCTGAATATCTGTATGCAGACGGGGTTCAAAAAATTGCGTTTAGTCTTTCCACGATGCTATGCGCAACCTCTGTATAGAAGTAATACGCAATCACGAAACCTTGCAACAAAATATATGCCGATAGGTTGTGTAGGAGGCATGAAATTCTTTGGAAGACGGTGTTTCAGCTCAAACTGATTGGCAACTACATCAGAGAACCCAGTAGAGGCTATGGTGCACTCTTCTGCTTTTGCTCTGCAGGCCACTGTACTGTCATGTGATATCATGACTTCACTAACCCCAGCGCAATAGCAGGTGATTTTTATCCGAGCCACTGTAGGTAAGATGCGATTTTCAGTGCAAATAAACAATCCGTTGCTGTGAGAAAATTGAAACTTAGGGTTTAAATGTCAATGGCCAGAAAAACCCTGTCCCATAGTTTAGCCACAGACTAGCCGAAAATCAGTCCGCTAAGCATGAAATCACTCATCCAACCAATATTCAAACTGTTGACGATGAAGTCTCATTAATTATCGATCCGTAACTCCCATTCCAGTGATGTACACATTATTTTAAGCCCCTGCTTGGTTTTTATTGAAGGAAGCAGGCGAATTTACCCTCTAAAGATAAACAACAACTCATACGTCCGTCAGATCGTCCTTACTTCATAGTCAGCATTTATCCTGCTCCATTCATGAGACATAGGAAAAAGTCATGTTTATTCTTCGCTGTGCACCAGTCTGCATACTCATGCTCTGTAAAGGAATTTGAAGAGGACGGATATGTAAATTGAGCACTTCTGACAGAGTGGCAAAGTACCAAACCGGCAGACATTCAAGGTAGTACCTATACAGAACTTTTGCCTGGAGAACATTGTTTTCAGTTCGTTCTAAATGAGTGGCACAGTTTTCGTTATTTGTTTTTGAAAGGCTCGATCAAAATAAAAACTGCAACAATAGATGAAAG